ACGTGGTAGATACACCTTAATGCCGTGGTGGTATATATTTGAGTTTGTATAATAGAGCTTAAAGCCAGTTTCTCTACTAAAGATTTAAAACATAGCAGCAAGTCACCAACAATTTACCTTAAGTATCTCATTTTCAGTGACGAGCTTATTGACCATTTCAAGATCAATGACCTGAGCCTCTTGTACAACAAATGCCCCTACAGTGCTATCTTTTCCTTTCTCACATTCTTTCATGAGTAATTCTTTAGTCTCTTGAAACTGAAGTCACATTTCTTCCAATGCAGCCCGCAGTCTCACATTTTCTTCAGTTTTGGCCTGCTCCATGTCTTCAATCTCCTCTGCTTTCTCTTGTTCCCTCATGAGCAATTCTTTAGTCTCTTGAAACTGAAGTCGGGTTTCTTCCAAAGTAAACTGTAGCTTTAATTGTTCTTCAGTTTTGGATTCCTCTATCTCAGTTGTCTCCTTTGTGCGATCTTGTTCCCTCACAAGCAAATCTTTAGTCTCTTGCAGCTGAAGCCGCATTTCTTCCAAAGCAGACAGTAGCTTTACATTCTCTTCTGTTTTGGCTTCTCTTATTTCAGCAGTCTCTTTTGCTTTCCGTTGTTCCCTCATGAGCAACTCTTTAGTCTCTTGAAGTTGAAGTCGCATTTCTTCCAAATCAGTCTGTAGCTTTACATGCTCTTCAGTTTTGGCTTCTCCTATTTCAGCACTCTTTCGCTTTCCGTTGTTCTCTCATGAGCAACTCTTTAGTCTCTTGAAATTGAAGTCGCAATTCTTCCAAATCTGACTGTAGCTTTACATGCTCTTCAGTTTTGGCTTCCACTAATTCAGCATTTTCCTTTGCTTTCTCCCGTTCCCTCATGAGCATTTCATTCGCCTCTTTAAACTGAAATCGGATTTCTTCTGAAGTAGACTGTAGCTTCACAAGTTCTTTAGTTTGGGCTTCTTCTATCCTAGCCGCCTCCTTTGCTTTCTTGTGCTCTCTCATTAGCAAATCTTTGGTCTCTTGAAGGTGAAGTTGAATTTCTTCCAAAGCAGACTGTAGCTTCATAATTTCTTCAGTCTTGGCTTCCTCTATACCAGCCTGTCAGAAGTCCAATTCGCAACTCATATTCCAAATTGTTGCCACAATAATAAACAAGCTCACTAAGCTTTAATCACAACCTAGTTAGGCTAGCAACATCGATATGTGAAAT